CCCCAACAATGGTGTTCATTGTATGACGAGTCACCTAGGCTTCGCAAACTTCCTCTGTATTCTTTCCCTTCTTTTGCGTAGGATTTTTCGAGTTAGTATCTTTTCGAGGAGGACTTCTCTTTCCAGTATGTCCCTCGACGTATTTAACATAGGATAACAAGCGACCTCTTTGAATTAAGATTTCAATTTTTTTTAGTAGGTGACAATTCTTCGTGTGATGTACACAAATTATGTGGTATGCATACTATGCATTCTCATTTTTTTCCCATCACAACATGGACCCCTTTAGAACATCCCGGTATGGGAAGTAACTTGAGATGATAAACTTCTCTCAATATATCCTCCTTCTTGGAATCCAATGGGGTGTACCCAACCTCTTTGTCAAACGAACATCGGGATGGCCTCATCGTTGACCGGTCTCTGAATCCAAACTTAGGGTAATCTTTCTTATGTCTAAATCCCCCCTCTTTAACTCGTATTTTTTCTTTGGCATCTCGGGAACTCTTTTCCATGTTACCTTCCTCCCCTTTTATGTAGCATTCCGCTCTGGTAATAACCTCATCCATGTTGCATGTCGACTTTTGTGCTAAGGATTCATTGAACTGTCCGACTTTGAGGCCATAATAGAATGGTCCCACAAAATTTCTTGATTCAGATGAGACACTTTAATTATCTTCTTATTGAACATTTCCAGGTACTCTCTGAGGGATTCCAAGTACCCTTGTCAGACATTAAATAGTTTGGTAGTCAACATTTTTCTATGTTTGCTTGCTAAAAAGTGTTGTACCATCTTTTTAGTTAAGTTCTAGTAACTAGAAACTGAAAACCTAGGTAAGCTCATACCATCACAGCGCTCCTTCTTTAAAGGTCCTGGAAGTGAGTTTACATTTACGGGAGTCGAAAGCCATACTATTGTCATTTAATTATTGATCGCAATAATGTGCTCATGAGGGTTGGTTTTACCATCAAAGGTTACCAATGAGGGCAGTTTGAAGTTCTCTGGGACTTGATCCTCCCAGATTGCCTCAGACAAAGGTTGGAAATCCAGAGGCTCCTTCTATGTGTCCCCATCTTGTTAACTTTGTGCCTGCAAAATATGAACATTATCTTGCAAGGTTTCGTTTTGTTGATAGAGAGCCTCCACTACCGCAAGTAGCTAGGTTAGATTCGGTGGTGGAGGTGGATCACTTCGACTAGGAGATGACCCTGACATCAAACCACTTGGACTATTAGCGATTCTGATGATGATTTTTGTGTGCCTAGACAAGTTTTACCGAGGCCCCGCAGTGAGCGCCAAATTTTCTTGCTAAAAAACACCAAAAAGTTGACTTCCTTGTTACCAGTCAAGGGAGCCTAAAATGATTGTTTTAGGTGTTTGTTATGTGTTTCTCTATTGATTTCTACCCTCATTCTTCATCCAAGAAGTCTCCTATTTATATGGCTCGAATCACCCCTCTTCATTAATATTTGTCCTTTCATATCCTTCATAAAGACAGCTTTAGATAACGTTTGTCGCCCCCATAACTTCCAGGTAACATATCTCTCATCAAAAATTGTAACTCTCATGCCATCATGGAGCATTCTGTAACTGTTTCTTGCGACTCTTCAGATGCTTTCCTAGCATGGACATCGGATCTGACTTGTTTGTATGAAGTCGACTCTGGCTTACTTGTTTTAGTGCTTCTAACCGGATCCAACTTGTATACATAATTACGTTCATTTGACCTGTTTGCCTCTTCATACTCGGCTTCTTCACAACTCGGCTTCAGGGAATTCTGGGATGTACAACATGGATGGTTAACGATGATCCAATTGTGAATTGAACTAGATTGTATAGAAACACATTGTAATATATTGTGATTGTGATATAATCATATGGTAATTGTGATATCAATATATGTTGATTGTGATATGATTACATGGTGTTTGATAAGAATAATCATGTGGTGATTGGTGAGAACTTGTCATGTATTCGTAAATTTTATTTGATCGTGTACATCCTAATTGAGATGCTTATGTAAAGTAGAATTGAGATGGGGCATCAATGATTCATGTTTCACGATGGGTTTGAGTCCCAACTATGGGTTGAGTCCCATGGAAGAGAGCTAGATGCCTAAGTGGGTTCGAGTCCTTTTTCAGAGAAAGATATTCTAAGTGGGTTCGAGTCTCATACAAGTGACAGTTATTGATGTGGGTTCGAGTCCCATGGAGAACCTAAATCCATAATAAAGTTGAATCGTACGAAAATGCATGAATCGAGTCTTTCCCTAAACGTAGGTATGTTCGGGGAATGATGTTTCGTGCTTATTAATAGTGATTCATTGAGTTATGTGAACTCATGCTATGTGTTTTCCATACGAAGAGTAAACTCTCTTAGATGCCTAAGCCCTTGTTCTATTGCGTAAGTGTACATAAGCAGGATGAAGTTGAATGGCTTAAGTTATGAAATTGATAAGAGATTTCTTTAGAGTCGAGTGGACCCATGGGGTAGGGAAACTCACTAGGATTATTATCTCAACCCACTATTATTATTGTTTTACAGGTGATTCTTTGCATGTTAAAGGCAAGGACATGGTTGTTCGACAATGTTTTGAAGACCTTCGTTATCGTGATCTTCTGTTGTGGATTATGTGCGATGTGGATATTGTACATAGATCTTAGTTTTTGATTAGGCACTCTTGTATATCATGTGCCATAGATATATATTTTGTTTTGGACATGTATATATAATGAATGTCAATAGGTTCTTATGTTGTAGCAGTACCGATTAACATTGTGTATAATGTATTTTTTAGATGTATATTATACGAGGTGTTATAATTTGTTTGAAAATCAAAAAATAATACATCTAAACATAATCTATTACATATATCGAACCTTCTGCCTTCTCCTCCTTTGACTATATTGCACGCATTTCTTAACTCGACAACCATGTTCTCCGCGAGGGTCGTCCTCAAAGTGTCCTGACTTTATACCTGCTTTACCCATCTCCACAATATGCCAACAGTAGAAGTTTTCTACAAAGAGAAGCTTGAATGAGACATAGAGCTCAAAAGTTCGAGAGGAGGAAGAAAACTTTTTTTTTGCAGAAAATAAACAATAAGGAAGTGGGAAAGGTTGTCTAGCGAAAGGTATGAAACAAAAGTGTCTCCAGATCAATTTCTGGCACAATGGGGGTGTCTCTGTAATTTGATCTAAGAAATGATTAAAATAGATGCGTCCAGAGATGCATCTTCAGACTTTAGGGATAGTCTAGATTTTTCATGGTGGTGTGGGATAACTCATACGGGTGGAAAGAGCATTTCGCTAATTAAAACATTAAAATAGGACAACAAGCTCACATGTCATACATTTTTCATGAGTTTGGATCAAAATGACAAATCTTGATCTATTTCTTCTCAATTGGTCCCTTGTTTCCATTTGTTTGTTCATGAATTATATTAGGACATCATTGACTCTCCTAGTGTATTTCCTTATGATAGTACCTCCTAAATTTTGAATTACTTCATTAAGTCTTGGTACTCTATGTCTTCATCAATTTCTCAAGGAAGGACATTTCCTCCTTCTGTCTTTCAGACTACATTCTAAAGGTTGAAAAAATAAGAATAATAGAGATACATATTTATAATTGTTGACCTCCATCAAATCTTTAACGGGTCTCAAGCATAACTCATTAATGAACGGATCTACGAACTAAAATGATCAAGCCCAATACATGCGAACCGAATGAACCAGACCCGATGCCTGACAGACACGAACTATACGTTGGACTCGACTTGCACCGCATGGATCTCCACTAGTCGCCGACTTCTGGCCTTCGGCTTGCCACCACCAGCTAGGCTGCCCCACGGCTCTTGTGTCTTCCGTCAACATTTTTGTTACTTTGCGACTTTCTAATTTCAAAAAATCTCAACAAATTTATTTTCCTCTTCACAACTCAGTTTTAAAACATATCTCAACAAAATAATCTATCCATTTCAGATTCACCATACCCTAATCTTCAAAATTGTAAATTCTTTCATAAACACTAGACATAACCAAGGAAAAAGAAAGTGTTCCTTTGAGTAATTAGCTCTCTTGAACTCTTGCTAACTTGTTGGAGTCCTTACATATCCACCCACTTCAATAAAGCTAGAGTTATCTTCCACCTCTCTCAATAGCTTTGATTGTCGATAAAAAAAAAGACCGAATCATTATTTAAAATAAAGTTAAAGAATCACGGAACAATTTTGCTTATATTATATATGTTTAACGTGAAATAAAAAGAAGTACATATCATGAGATAAGTATAAAGAAAAGTGTAACACAATTGATGCAAGGAACAAAGACAGATCATGAACATAATCCATTGCATATTCATTCTATTGAATCTCATTTGAATAAACTTAGAAAATGCTTACAAAGCTGGTAGAAAAAGAAGGGGAAAAAACTAAGTAATAATAGCCGTCCGTGGTTGGAACTTTGAAAGGGGAAAATGCCAAGAAAAAGAGATGCGCCAAGATGAAAAATGGAACAAGAAGCATCATCAAAGGTGGTCGTGGGAGAGGAGGCAACATCACTGATAGCACCAAAATGGATAAAGTGATGAAAAGAACGGAAACCATCATTGAGTACCTTAACATGCATGTACTTACTTCTCTTTCAGACATTCCATGTACATATATACCAAGAATTAAAACACTTACTGAGTCTCATCGTAGTCAAGTCAGTCCACAGCTAGAAAAAAAGAAGAAAACCAAATTGAGATTCACAAACATGTGACTTATTTTGTTTTCGATCTTTGATCAAAAGTGGCTACTTTGGAGAGTAATAAAACAATATCAAATATTGATATTTGATATCACATACACATATATAACAATCGATAGTTTTCTCTTCATACTCTTCATTTGCTTTAGAACAGAGACAGGTAAACTCTGTAGTGCATTATCTAAATACATGTAACAACATAGTTGATCAAAGTTATTTTTGATGAGTGCACAGCACAATGTACACATTATTCACAAAGAAGAATAAACCGGCACACCAGGTAAGGTTGCTCCACAATCAACAATAAAATTATTACCCGTAACATATTCAGAAGAATCATGAATCAGGTAACGAGCCAAAGATGTTAATGCAGGGTCTGAAGCAACCAAACTTCTTAACGGGTTTATTTTAGTGATTACATTATTCAGCCAAGCTTTTTCTAATAATTTTTCAGTGATTTCAGATTTGAAAATTCCAGGGGATATTGAATTCACTCTTATTTTGTGTACCCCCAATTCCAAAGACATGACCTGTCAAATATCATCAGATAAAACGATATTAATATGCTGCTGTTTAATCGTTGAATACAATCAGAAAATAAAGAGCTATAAGTTTTTGTCTTTTAACTTTTGTCTATAGAATAACATGTCAACTTCTAAACTCTTGACCAATAATAATTAACAGAAAAATTCAAGGCAGAACGATACTTGGTCAGACTATACTAGTATATATTTAGCCAAACTTTGAATTATTAGGCCTCTTTTCCATAGAAACCGAAGGATCAAAACCAAATGCTTTATTAGAAGAAATATAGTAACACCTAAAATTGAGGTAAACCAGTCAATCCATGCATCTCTTTGGGATTTTAAGATGTATGTATGAAGTGAAACCCAAGTACCCAACATCCTTAACACCTTGACAACAAGCCTTATTTATAGACACGCCAGGCACCTACCTATGTCATATTTGGATCAAAGTTGTCAACAGACACCGCAGTCCGAGACCTCAGTCGTTGCATTAAGCTCTGACAGTTTATATTCTGATTTCAGCAAATTAGATTTCAAATTAAACTTATACTACGAACTGTCTCATCTTAATGCAACAAAGATGAGCAAACTGAAGTAAAAAATCTCTTCCGTTGAATCAAGATTGGACAGTTCATAAGTGTTGGGAGGACTTTGCCCAGTGGGCGGAGCAACAAGCCAGAGTGAATATGACATTTCTGCTTCCCACAGACAACTTCCCAAACTTTCAGGTTCTCTTAAGTGTGGGGGAGGACTTGCCCCAATGGGCCGAACAACAAGCCACAAAGAGTGGATGACATTTCTGCCCCAAATATTAAGACAATAGACAAATGGTTACAAGCTCTTGTATTAACTTTATTCAGTTCATCCTTAACTAATATGAGATTCAAAATTTACATTTGATTTCCCAACATTCTCCTCTCGGGTAATGTAAATCACCACGTAAGTCACCGTGTCATTATGCTCCCGTGAAGCGAAAGTCTCTTCAAGTATCAACAAAGAGGAAAACTGCTTCACAATATGACAAGATATTTTTAACAAATAACCAAAGTGCCTAACCACAATCATCACAAATCTGGATTAGTAGCAACACACACAAACCAGTCTCCAAGTGACACGGTAGTCAAACCATCACCATTGATACCACTTGTTAGGGGGTTTGGGGGAGCCTAAAAGCAAAGAAGATTTTTGTCAATTGGCCAAGCAACAAACACCAAGAACGTGTCATTGCATCTTCACTCAAATCCCTAAAATGCCGAGTTACATGCGTCTAATTCCTTATTTGATTTAAGTCCATAATTTGATTTCCCAACATGTGGGTAAATTTTAAATTACCGATCCTTCTCCACGTGCAATGACAACATTGACGCTATTCTTCAATCTAAACACAAGTTATGCTCCTTTTGACAAAATTAGATGTAACCAATGGTTGACGGCAAAACAAAATATGATTACTTCATATGATATCTTAATCTGACAGATCAAACTCTGGCTGTATAGTATATTGCAACACAGCAAAAAAAGTTACTACATCTAAACTTGTTCAACATTTTCCATAATTCATTAACAACTTAAAGATTGTCAATATTATGATTTCTAAAGAAAATCAGAGAGAGAAATTAAAATTATGGTCTGATTTTGAGAAAAATCACACACGTCAAATAATATTACCTTTGTTAGCATGTTGACGCCTGCCTTTGAAGATGCATATGCAACAGCCCCACTTAGTTGTCCCCGATTTAAACCAGAAGTTGAAGAAATGTTAATAATTGATCCCTTTCGCTGGGTATCACACATGTGTTTGCATACATATTTTGAAACCAACCAGCAACCAGTTAAGTTAGTTTTGAGAACATGATCCCATTCCTCCTCAGACAAATTCAAGGGAGATTTAACACTTCCTACACAAAACAGAAAATAGTAAACATGATGACTAATAGAAGCAATAACAGATTCAATATTAAGCAATGATGTTTGCTCTCAATGGACATGAACAAAACTTTTCATTTTTTACTTTTTATTCAAGCATTTAAGTAACACTTAATGCATAATGAAGTTGCAGATTCAAGTGTCATTGTTTCAGGCATCCAGTAAGAGAAATCCTCTCCTAAAAAGAAGTTTACTAGATTTATTTTTATGGTTGGGAGGATAAGAGTATTCTAGTGTACTCCTCAAAGTCCGCTTTTTGATAAATTCAGGATACTTATTAGTAAACCTCAATAACTATTTCTTGCTTCCCTATTTTTGGAAATCAAATTGGAACACTGAAATACAAATGAAAAAGTAAAGCACAATAATCTTATGGGTGGATCACCAACATGCTTCTATCTCTCCTTCACTTCTACGATTCCCTATAAATTCCGGCAAGTACGTCAAATTGTAAAATTGAATTCAAACATGAAAGGAAGCTCTTGACTTTTGTGCTGAGTTCAACTAGTAGGGCAAGGTCCTAATATACCATCAAAAACAGAAGAATGTCTGAAGTTATTTTTCTTTCTTTTCTCAATTTTCCAATGAACTTCATACTTACATATCACAAAAATGCAAATTTTCTAACCACTCAAATATAAATTCAATCCATATGGATGAAAACAAAACATGTCTTTGATACCAACCCTTTGGATATTAGGGAGATAACCAGTAATATCCTAAATCTAGATCAGAGACAACAATGATTTAGAATGCTATCTGGTGATGCAGAAGAAGCTTTTAGGAAGAAGTTTTTGCAATAATGGTCTGTTCATTCAAAATGTCATAATGGCTATATATGGCCAAGTTGGTTACAAGCCAACCAATCATTTGTCAAGGGAATCTAACCAATCACATGTCACCAAATCTAACAAATGTGACACCTCATTTAAATGACAAAATAAGGAAATGACAAAATAGATAAAAGGACAAATTATTGTAAGCATTGAAACCCTATTACAATACCCCAAGTAGGTAAGGCAGATGGATAGGAGGAGGTTGCCCATAAACTATATCAAAGGGAGTAGTATGAGTGGATGAATGGTAGTTTGTGTTGTACCACCACTCAACTAGTGAGAGCCACTTAAACCACTAAGTTGGTTGGTCAGAACACATGCAGTGCAGGAAGGTTTCCAAGCACTTATTTACCACTTCAATTTGTCCATTGGTCTGGGGATGATAGGCAGATGATTTATGCAAAGCTACACGTTGAAGTTTGAAGAATTCATGCCAGAAGTTGCTAAGGAATATAGGATCCCTGGCACTAGTGATAGATTCAGGCAAACCATGTAGCTTGAAAACATTATCCAGGAATATTTGTGCCACATCAAGAGTAGTGTATGGGTGAGCTAAAACCATGAAGTGTGCATACTTGCTAAGTCTATCAACCACCATAATGACTTGTTTCCCTGCAAAAGTAGGAAGCCCCTCTACAAAATCCATGCTAACATGAGTCCAAATTTGGTTAGGGATGGGTAAAGGTTGCAACAAACCAAGGTAAACAGCAAGTTCAGGTTTATTCTTTTGACAAATACCACAATTTTTGACAAAAGTGGTGATGTTCTTGGCCATGCCTTTCCAATAGAAAAGAGATTTGACCCTACTAATTGTCACATCTCTGCCCGAATGACCTCCTACAACTGAGCTATGCAACCACTGTGAATAGACTCCTTGATGGTAGGATTAGATCCAATAACTAGCTTGCCTTTCCTTCTCAATTCATCACGAATCCAAGAGTATTTAGCATGTGAATGGGGATTTTGTTGAAGATCAGTGATAATGGTTTTGAGGTGGGGGTCTTATTGCCATGCAAGTTGGATAGATTCTAATAAATCAATGCCTACATTGTTTAGAACCAAAGCCAACAATTCAGCAGCTTCCTTTCTTGATAAGGTATCAGCAGCCATGTTAGAAGAACCCTCTTTATACTTAATATCAAAATCAAATCCCAGCAATTTAGAAACCCAACCCTGTTGAAATGGTGAATGTAGTTTCTTATCCCACAAGTATTTGATGTTTTTTTTTATCTGTTTTAATAGTGAAAGGAGCATGTGCAAGATACGAACTCCATTTTTGCGATGCATAAACTATAGCTAATAGTTCCCTTTCATAAACAGAAATGGCTTGCTCTGCTTAGGTCCCAGAGATTTGCTGATATAGGCAATATGATGTTGATCTTGCATTACAAAGCCCCAATGCCCTTACCAGATGCATCAGTCTCAATAGTAAACCTTTTTGCGAAGTTTGGCAGACTCAAAACAAGAACAGAGACAAGTGCTTGTTTCAATGTATGAAAAGCTTGTGTAGCTTCCTCATTCCACACAAAACTATCTTTCTTCAGCAAAGCAAATCAGTTAATGGTTTGACCAGCTTGCCAAAATCTTTCACAAACCTACAATAATTAGAGGTGTTCAAATCCGAACCAATCCAATAAAAAACCACAAACCAAATCAAAGCAAGCCGAAACCACAAAAAACCGCATTTGGTTCGGATGTGTTTGGGTCATTTTATAACAAAACCGCGCGGTTCGGTTTGGTTGGCGGTTTGTATTTTGCAAACCGAACTAAATCAAACCAAACCGCATTATGTTATAATTCAAACTTCACTGATCCCACATCCAACCCAAAACTCAAACCCTACTATGCATTAACCTAACAATTATGAACAATTTTCTTTTACTCACACTTAGGGTTTCAGTTTCAACCTTCTCAAACCTCTCCTAGTAGTATCACACATTCTTCTCATCTTTTTTGCCATATATGTCTCACCTCTTCTACATTAATTTCTCCTCTTTTATGTTCTTTATTTTTTATTTTCTCATTTTATGTTACTATTTTTTCTTCTAATTAGGTTTTTATCGCACATTTCTTCTCGAATCTCACATCTCTTATGTTCTTTCTTTTTAATCTTCTCTAATCTCTCATCTCTATTTTTTTTGTTCTATTATAATGTTTTTGATATTGTTTATACTATTATTTTTTCCACTTCAATCTAAACTCATTTTTGTATATTGAATGAGAAGCTTTTGTCTAAATATGATGAGTTTTGTTGTTATTTGGTAATTTATAAATGATTAAACACAAAGTTATGTTGTTCTCTATAGGTGTATGTATGACTCAATAAAAATCTTGTAAAAATCGAACCAACTAAACCAACCCAAACCGCATTAATTTGATTTGGTTCGGTTCGGTTTTATTTCTAAGAGCCAATTGAACCAAACCTAACCATATGCATTTTTCTCTTGCGGTTCGGATGATTTCTAGCGTCAAAACCGCCCAAACCGCACCGCGAACACCCTTTAAGCTTAGAAAAAAATTTAATAGCTTCAGATTTTTTGGTAATGGCCAAGACTAAACACCCAGAATTTTGTGAGGGTCAGTAAAAACCTCTTCTTTGGTGATAAAATGTCCTAGATATTATACTCTAGGCAAAGCAAAAGCACGCATAGGTTTATTGATAAACAAGTGATTTTTCCTAAGGGTTTGAAAAATCAACTAGAGGTTAATATAATGAACCTCAAGGCAATGGATGTAAACGAGTAAATCATCAAAAAAGACAATAATGAATTTTCCAATTTGTGGCCACCTCCATCAGTTACAGATAAAGAGGAAATAGCTTCTAGTTTACACCCCATGGACTTAGCAATTTCTAAGTCTAAGAAATTGTGTGTGCTGCCGCTATCAAGTAATATATGGATCAATTTCTTATCATGTAACCCAGTCACGTGCATGGTTTGAAAATTCGCAATTTCCATCAAGGCCTGGAGGGATAGTTGAAGATTGTCAAAAACTGAGGAGTCAAGTTCAGCCACAATTATTTCCTCTGTGGAACCGTCTTCAGGAGACTCATCATCATCAATCTCAAACACCATAAGTTGGGATGTTTATGCTTGAGTTGATGATCTAGTGTAAATTGTTCATCACAAAGACCCTTAGCTCTGCGCTCAGCCATTTCCAATGCAGAGTAAGTGCATGTTTGGCAATTGTAACTTGGTCGCTGTGTGGAAATTAGAGCCACAGTTGGGGCCGAAGATGAAGACGTTGGTGATGAAGTGTTGGGTTTGGTAAAAAGACCCTTACTTTTAGTGAAAGGGGAAATGGGAATTGGGTTTTGGTTGTGATGGTAGGGAAGCTTCATGAAGCTTAGCTAGGTTTGCAACATGAGCAATCGTGGTGGGGTTAAACATACTAACATGCATTTGTTGAGATACTCCAAACCAGCCAAAAAAAATACTAAGACTGTGTTCAAGAATCAAGGTAATCTGAGTGAGAGTGAGTTCAAATTGGTCAATGTAATCTTGGATCTTGCCTGTGTGTTTCACTTGCAGCAACGATGAAAGGGGGTCCTGATAAACATCTCTGAAACGAGTTGTGACATCAGTGATGTATTGCTGCCAAGAGGGGTAGGTGTTAAACTTTTGACGCATATATTTGAGATGTCATTACAACGCTAGACCATCGAGGTGAATGGATGCTAAGCGCACCATCAACTGCGCCAAAGTCTCATCTAGTCAAAAGAACGGTCACACATCTAGAGTCAGTCACGAACATTCTTTCCATCAAATCGAGGAAACTCCACCTTAGAAATGTGGGTGGCATAAACATTTTGGGTGGTGTTGCAAATATTGTTGGAGCCTTATCGGACGTTTGAACCCGGCGAACGTTGATCTTGAACATGCAGCAAAGTGTGTATTTCCTCCATATCTGCATTATGCTGCAGTTGAAGCTGATTGAGACAATATTCATGTCATTGTTCAGTTTCGTTCAGAGAACGCAACGGGGATGATGCCATGGTGCACCAAAATGATACCAATTGCTACCAACCTTTTGGACATTAGGGAGATAACAGTAATATCCTAATTCTAGATTAGAGACAACAATGATTTAGAATGCTATCTAGTGATGCAAAGTTGCAGAGTAAATAAAAGGAAGCTTTTAGGAGGAAGTTTTTGCATTAATTGTCAGTCCATTCATTATGCCATAACGGCTATATATGGCCAAGTTGGTTACAAGTCAACCAATCATTTGTCAAGGGAATCTAACCAATCACGTGTCACCAAATTTAACAAATGTGACACCTCATAAATGACAAAACAAGGAAATGACAAAATACACAAAAGGACAAATTATTGTAAGCATTGAAATCCTATCACAGTCTTAAACTAACATAATAATTGAATCTAAATACTATTATAATTGTTTATGTCATTAGATTAATCACTCCCTGTTGAATTTGTACCTTCTATTAGTACCTCTAACCCGTGAGATATGATCTCTCATTTCTTGTTAATCATATATATAAATAATAAATCTCTAAATTCATCTCTAAACAATTTGGTTTATAAAATCTCGAATAAAGTAAATAGTTATGGTTTGGTCACTAAATGTATTGAAATAACCAAACATCTATAAGTAACTTTTCTTTGCAATTTTATGGATCAAATTGACTTATTTGAGGACAAAACTAGCTCTATACATTTGGTAGAGTCTTTACTCTCTAAAAAGTATTAAAAATGTCATACTAGTCCATAAAAATCTAAGATGAATTTGGTGGTTTATTAAAAAATAGAAAATAAAAAAGAAATTTGATGAGTTGAAAATGATCTATACCTCTCACACCAGCATTGTTAATCAAGGCATCAATATAGCCAAAGGCGTCCCATGCCTTCTGAATGGACCTATCGATGGTAGCGGAATCGGCGGAGACGTCGAGTTCCACAGCCACGGCACGGACGGTTCCGTTTCCATATAGATTATTGATTTGATAGCAGAGGGAGTGGAGGCGGTCGAGGCGGCGGGCAGCGGCGACAATCCTGCAGCCGGCTTTAGCGAGATCGAGGCAGAAGTCGCATCCGAGGCCGGAGGAAGCGCCGGTTACCAACACGACCTTGTCGTCGAGCTTGTGCCATGGCTCTAGCTGTTCTGCTGCCATTGATTTATTTGATTTATTGTAGATAGAAATTGGAATTAACAATTGTGTGCAATCAAAAACCTTCACCTCATTATATACACGGCACAATTTAAGAAGTTGAATTGTCCTATTATTTGTAGGGTCATGCAATTTTAAATTTAAAAAGAAAATAGTTTAATTGTTATGCATTGTTTGAAAAAAAAAAAGTAATATCAATTGTAATTTATCACAATTGATATTATTTTTTAAGTGGTTAAAATAAAAGTCAAATATTTTATATAAATTAGCGGTTATGATTAAATGACAGTGTAAAAAATATTTACATTGTCAGTGCATATCAATTAAATTCAAAAAAATATTAAATGAGAAAGATTTTAAAGTGAGAGATGAGAGCAACAAACAACAACTATAATTACGATTAAACTTATTCATTAATGTAATTATTAATTTCTCTCTTATTAACTTGTATTTTATCTCTCTTATTAATTTGATTTAGTGGTTGTTGTTTATTGCTCTCATCTCTCATTTAAAATCAGTCTCATATATATATATATATATATATATAATCATGCCTGGATATGGAACATATCCTATGAGAATGTCATTTTTATGTGAGAACATAAGAATGAATCTGAATCATTAGATTTTAAAATAAATGGTGGAGATTATTTGTGGTTTTATGTGAGAACATGAGAATGAATCTGAATCATTAGATAAGGTCAAACGTGAATTAGACTATGATAGCAAGAAAGGTCGAGGAATGTAGAAAGTTAGGCAAAGTATCTGCTATAACCCGGATCGGTCACATAACTCAACTCCCATCAGCCGAGCTCCTAGGAAGTCGAGTACCTACCTCATCAACCTGGTACTTATGCCGAACATGAGCTCAACCAGCATACCAACAGGTGTATCGGTGGCGGAGCATCAATGCGGACGTTACCAGAACTTCAAAGCTTACATTCATGAAGAGGAGTTACATCAATGATGGTCATGTAACGTCAGAAGGTCAGAAGACTCATCTTAATGGCATATCTTCATGGAAGACTATAAAAGGGGCACCCGCATGAGGGTTAAGCAAGACACAATAATCTTGAGACAATACACAACATAAGTGTAGCTCTCAAATCCCCAAATATCCCTTACAATATAAACATAATTCTTCTTCTCCAGGACAAGGGGAATTAGCACTTTTGGTGTATCTAACCATTTTTTGCTAGAACATTTGGCGCCCAGCGTGGGGCCTAGGTAAAACTCTTTCAGGCCACACCTTACACTAACAACATGTTCTCTGAAGGAGATCCTCCAGACATGGCTCAACTGCTAGCCATGATGGAGCCCATGCGTAAGCAGAATGAGACGCTGCAAGACAGCATACAAGTTTTGCAACAACAAAGTCAGGCCAACGGCGACCATGAGGAGAAGGCTCTCGAGCCACAACCTCTTTCTCAAGAGATATGGGACGACCACGTCTCGAAAAACTTTAAAGCATCATCACTGACCTCTTATGATAGGAAGACGGGTCCTCAGAAGCATGTTATTGCCATTAACAATCAAATGGTCATAGTTACCCCTTCGGATTCACTGAAGTGCAAGCTCATGGTCGGTACCTTTAAGGATGTAGCTCTAAGATGGTACATGAGCCTTCCTCGACTCTCTATCGTAAGCAGCCAGGACTTGACAAAGAAGTTAGTACAACACTTCTCAGCAAGCAAGCGTCGGAAGGTGTCCACGACCACATTGTTTAGTGTTCGACAGAAACAATCAGAATCACTATGCGAGTACCTAGCTCAATTCAATGAGGAAACCCTCAAAGTATCTCATCCAAACTATGAACTATTTGTGGGAGCTTTTCAACATGGATTACGAGTCAGACAGTTCAATGATTCGTTAGCTCAGAAGTCGGCTATCAGCATGGACAAGATCACTACTTGGGTTGAGTGTCACATCAAAGGAGAAGAAAGTAACCAAGAGAAGAGATCTTGGGACAACAGTGAAAAGACAAAGAGCAAAGAAGATGTGCCAAATAGGAAAAATGAGCATCCTCAGAGAGTTATGTACGAGTGACATGCTCCCAAACCATACAGACAATCATATGAGCTGGACAGAGACCTCACCCCATTGAATACAAGCATGGGAGATATCCTTAAAGAAGTCAGTCATATGAATCTGTTACCAGGGCCTCATCGTCCCAAAAGAGCCAACGCAATCATGGAAAGGCAACTCGAGGCTTGGTGTAATTACCATCGTATACGGGGGAATCACACAGAGGGTTGCCAACAGCTGAAAAAAGAAATTGAAGCTCTAACCCAGAGAGGTCATGTTTTGGCGTATGTGAAGGATTCTCAACCACAAAGTAAAGAGAGAAGTCCTCGCTGAGACGACCCGGGACCAGAAAAGTCAACTCGGAAGAAGAGTTTAAATGCCGAAGAGGGTCACAAGACAAAGACAGCTCGACATATGCTAAACACCATAGCTTGAGGGTTTGCTGGTGGCAGAGAAACAAGTTCGGGCAGAAAAAGATATGTTAGGGCAATCATGTATATCAACCAGAGATTTCCAGAGAAACCAGAAGACAACTTGGATGTTGTAACATTCTTAAAACAAGACACCATAGAAGTCATAACTCATGAAAATGATCCCATGGTTATTAAAATACAAATAAGAGACTAGAGCGTGAAAAGGGTATTGATAGACCCAAGAAGCTCAGTCGACGTACTGTATTGGGATGCTTTCAGAGGAATGGGGCTCGATACGACCGAGTTATTACCATTCAAATGCAGTCTAGTAGGATTCTCGGGAAAACAGGTGCAGGTGCTCGGGCACCTAGCGTTGCCGACCACCTTTGACAACATGGCTAATGTGAAGACCGTCTGAGTGAGGTACTTGATAGCCAACGCTGCTTCACCCTATATCATCATTATATGTCAGCCATCATTCAACGCCCTGGAAGCTTCACTTTCAACTCTGTATTTGACCACGAAATTCCCACTCGGAGATGGCCGGGTTGGTATTGTCAAAGGCGACCAGGGGCTGGCGAGAAAGTGTTATAAGGATAGCCTAAAGTTGAAAAGAAAGGAACCCACGGGAGAAGTGGATCCTAAAAATACCCTCAAAGTTCACTTGGTTGACATAGACCTACGTGATGATTCAGTTGAAGACAACATAGCTGTCACACCCTAATTTTTTATCGTAAGATCCCACCTCCTTGTGCATTTCTTGTGTGTTATCTTTTACTTTTGTACGTATGTTTATTGTAGCTAACCAGTTTGTGCAGGTGCGTGGACTTCAAATGGAGGTCACACTCTTGTTCCTAGTCAGAGACTTAGGAATTGACCGTTCTCTTATTAAGGTGTGGTCATGTGAAGACCGACTGGGTTACATAACAAGCTGCGTCTCAGATTGCACTTTTATTCCTAAAGATTCATCAGGGAATAATTCTTATGTTGAAATCATCATCATCTAAAAGGATTATCTAGATTCTATTAATTTAAAGTTGGTCAAACTGTGGACTAAAGCCTCTTCAATTGGAATGCAACTACTTTCATGATTTAAACTAAGGACAAACATGACATAGAAGGCTAGGGGGATTCTTTGGCTCAAGGATGATCAGTTCCAAACAAAGCCCATTCCCCAATTCTTGTTTCCAAGCCCACGATACAGAATGCAAAAGGTGACGAATTCACAAGCCTTGAACTAAAGCCCACCAACTTCATGCTATATGGCTAAGAGAAATTTATGATATATAACTCATGTTGAATATGCAAAGGAATATTATGACTGAAGTCTCGAATTTATGAAGCCATGACACAAATGTTTTGCGCTACAACATAAGGCCATAATCAATTTGCTACGAATTCTCAAATAAGAAACTACCTGCTCATGAAAACATTATAACATCATACACTTGCCTAAGCCATACATTTTCCTAGCCATCACAAAGCCAAATAAATCTAGAACAATGCTATCAACCTTAATTTAAAAGACATTACAAAGGAAATCATTCATATTAATACAAGAACAGGTACAAGTCGTAAGTCGCTACAAAATCCGCATCATCACATCAGAATAAAACAATACGTAATTCCTGGAATCGCTCTTGATTATGCTATGTCCGCTTCTGTCAACAAAGCGTGGTTCCTCTCTATGTACGCACTACATTTTCCACGACGAGTGTTGTGGAGGTGTTGGTTGTTAACCAATGAAGCAAAGAGGTTGGGGTCACGAACGGGACGATAGAAGATCAATCGACGAGGAACATATTTAAGAATCCGGCAAGCAACGAAGACTGGTGTATAACTAAGCTGATAGTTGCCCCCGTAGACGCAAGCAGTACGTGAGTCTTTCAGTAGTATTGAAGAAATTTGATATGGGAAGCCCTCAATAGCATGATCCATGTGGATACAAACAAAGAAGACCAAAGCCATTCCAATTGTCTGTTTACGACACAGTATTAAACCGAAGCAAATCTCAAGCTCACATAAGATAAAGAAAATATTTACGGCAATTAAGAATGCTGAGCATAATCATAATACTTACCAGCTTGGAACTTGCATCTCTGTTTTATGCCAACTCCAGAGTAACGGAACCAGCCTCTAGTCGGCCTTACCTAACAGCACATCATTCTGTAATCCATAAGGCTTTATCAACAAGACGTGTCGAAGCGCAATTCCAGCTCCATTCGATGACGCCCTCGTTTTCCTACACAAAACAATTCACAAGACAAAGGAACTATTAAAACCTCGTAAATATGCCCTTGACAGTGCTTGGACATAATAATGAGAGACTCAACGAACGGCAGTGGCCATTCAGCGCAGGTACAAGTTCAACATCTATTAGTGAACCTCAAATTCGCCTGTTATAACGAAAGGTTCAGAATGTTCCAAGTAGCTCAGCCAATCAATTTAGCATCATGGAAAGAGAGAAGAGAGGGAGGTCAAATCTAGTTCAGCCCTCAGTCCAATTCATCATCGGGCATAGGACTCGAGTGACCGGGAGGGTAACAACTGGAGCTGCCGCCTACT